TCTCTTTCTTTATTTGTATTTTGTATTTCTACTCTTATACCTCTCTTTATTAAACTCCATTATATATTCTCAATGTATTTATACGTCTCCACTCTCTACATTTAAATCGATAATTAATTTAGTAGGAATATATATTAAATATTTTATTATAACAATACGGAAATTTACATGCAAATCACACAATTCTTACAAATTCACATATCTAACACCTAAATTTTTTTTATTTACATTTTTAACACTTCGGATTCATGAACTCATGCATGGAAAGGTTGAGTGCTATGCATATAAATACAAAAGCTTAGGTGTGAGATAAGTATATATATATATATATATATATATATATAAATTCTATGGTATTTTATATAATAAAAATAGCTATTTATTTGTGATTTAATCCTTTGCTAAATACTGAAAAATTGCTGATCATTAGAAGTTGTAATTACAAAGAAAGTCTAACAAAACTAGTGCATGCATCATGTGGTTTAATCAATTAAAGAGAAATTTACACACATACCACAAACTTCTTATATATTTACATGCACAGCACCCAAAGTTTGGTATTTACACTTATACACCTTGGTATTGATGTATCATAAACTTGTGTATGAAAATGCTCATTTCGTATTTAAAAGATAGTGATGATGATATTTTTTGTGCGATGTTAAATATTTGCATGTAAATATGAATGTTTAGTTGTTTTATATGTAAATATATAAGAATTGTGTGATAAGACTCATCTCCACGTATATGGAGTTTGTAGGCCAGGAATTTTCTTATTAAGTAAGGAAATGTAGCTCTACTAGTCTATAAATGGAATCTTCTTAATTACATTATTATATAAATAACTGATGTTACATTACTGTTGAAAAAACTTAAGATTTGATGTTAATGCTGATCCAATTACTTATAAGAGATATTGTTTGAAACTTTATAAAAATGTCTTTTTCTAGGATAGATTTTTGTTTGTTAAGAATATCTTCTTCGCACTAGATTATGATTTTCTATGTTCGTATTTTTTAAGATTATTTTAATTATATTAAATTGTTCGTGAAAATAGTTGTGGTAGAAGCACGATTATGAAAAAGCGGGATAAGTATGTTTGATAGGTGTTGAATCTTTTTAGGATTTAGGGTCGTGTATTGTTCTTGAGTTCATACAATCCGATAGAGATATTATTTTTAAGAGGAATGTTTAGGACAATATAATGAATGTATTGCTTGAGCTCATGTTTCTCACACAGTTTTGCTGTCACGAGAGAGAGAGAGAGGTTGGGAGTCTTATTATAGAGAGAGAGGGAGAACGAGAGAAAGAAAAACCTCCTCCAACCTCGTGAACTCCCTTTTATTCATGAGAGAGAAAAGAAATATAAAATTATATCTCGTATGGTATTAAGTATGTTCATAATGTCTCGGTGAAAAGATTGTGATATGGGTGTTTGGCGGCGTCGTAAATTAGGATGCACTCATGTATTCCGATGTAATGATGACTTTCTTCAGGTGGTCGGTTTGCCTTTGATTAGCTCAACCACTTCAACTAATGGATTTGGCTCGACCATTTTTGTGGGTGGGCTTAACTTGATTTACTGATATGGGCATTCGTAGCTCACAAATTTTGATATCTTTCCCATTTGCAAACCTTTTTCGATCTCCCCTAAATATGTATTACCGTATCGTGGGCATACAGTAGGCTTACAGTTTAGTGTACTCATATCAATCCATTGTAGGGTACGAATATGTTAGGCTAGCTCGTGAGCTCAGATGATTTGAATTGGGCACACTAATGAGCTCATGAGTGGAACTAATCAAACTGAGAACTCGAGCTCAAGCCCAGAAATTATAAGAGTTCGAATTCAAACTTAACATGAATTGGCTCATTGGTTTAAAAGAAAAAATATTACATTAGGACTACGCATGCAAAGCTGCTTGCAGAGTTCAAGCTCAAGCTGAGACATGGAAAGCCGGGACCCACTTGCATAAAAAATGAAAAAAAGAACGAAAACGCGAGACCCGGTCTGACTGATGCGTTATAGAAATATTTCATCGCATAGGAATATTCCCTCACGTTATTCGAAATATTTTTCACGTTATTCATGTGTTATCGGTGTGTTATTAAGGTGATTCAACCAAATTATAAGATAAAAACTTTTATTGATATGTTATTAATGTGTAATAGAAGTGATTTTGAGTTAGTATTATTGTTTAAAGAACAATAACATCTCAAAATCACCTCAGTCACTGTTTTAATTTATTATTGGTATGTTATTCATTTGTTATGGATGTGTTATTGGGGTAATATTTTTCATGTTATTCATGTCTTATTGGTTTTGTTGTTTAAATAACAATAACATCTCAAAATCACATCAATAACACACTAATATCACATGAATAACATGAAAAATATTTAGAATAACACGAGGAAACATTCTTATAACACAGTCGGGTCAAGTCGTGCGTTCTCATTCTTGTTTTCATTTTTTATGTAGGTGAGCCCCGACTTTCCACGTGTCAGCTCGAGACTAGACGCTGCATGCAGAGTCATGTTGTAATATTTCTTTCGGTTTAAAGGCCATTTACATACATAGCACGAAATTCTTATGTATTTAAATCTCATGTCTAATTACAAAGATATTTAATGTCTAAGATGTTGTTGATACCATATATTAAAATAGATCATTTCTAACGTCTCATTGTATTTTTTTCTTTCACTTCACCACACTCTCCTCCTTGTATATGATTCACGAAAAATTTTGGGTTCAACCGTTATATTTGTAAATATGAAAGTTTAGGTGTGAGATATATAAATACATAAAAATTAATCTGTGCATATGGGGAGCGGAGCTTGAGCGAGCTCAGGCTTGGCTCGTGTTCGGCTCGATTTAAATATTCATGTTCGTGTTCTGCTCGAAATTGGCTCGTAAAAATTAATTTGAAAAAAATTGATGTAAAGTGTGAGATTCGAACCTGAACCAAATGTATATAAAAGAATGTATTAACCACATTACCATACAAGGTGTTATAATTTAAACTTAGCTATAAATATATAACATATTATTATGTAAATAATATATGTAATATATTATTATACAAATAATTATATATATATATATA